ACTTGCAAAGTGAGGGAATAAGTGATGGGGAAAAAAGCAAATCAAATCCGTTGCACTCAGAAGAAGGGAGTCTAATTTTAGAGTGACTTTAAAATGACAATGATCACTACAATAGGGTAAATATCATAGTGGGGAATGTTTTCAGTCAATTTGAAAACAAAGTTTCGAGGTTACATTATTTTTCATTATATAAAAATAGTTATAATGCACGTGGAGCCACATCTCAATTAATATGAATTTAAATTAGACTCCAATAATTTAGTATAAACTACCAAGATAAATATTCCTCTATTCATACAACAAATAACCTATCATAAACAAGTATAACAGTATGCATGGGTAGCAATGAATTTCATAATGTGAGATAGATAATATAAATATCATATTTGTAATTTAAATTATTTTTTAAGGTTTGCTATAAAAGAAAGATTGACTGCTAGAAAGTTTGCAGAGAATTTTTTTATTAAACGAACAGACTAATTTCAGATGAAGTTTAATTGACAAAAAACTCAAAATTTGCCCAGGAAAGAAAAAATATAAACCGGGGAAGGATTTTATGCTCCCTTCAACAAAAAAATCAAAAAAAACAGTTCACATTTTTCCAAAAAAAGGGAGGAAAAAAAATTTTTTTGGTTTAATCAATGGGGACAAAGAAAAAATATGCGGGTTAAAAACCCCAAAAAAAATGTTGGACACATGAAGCTACTTTGCCTTGACTTTAATGTGCAGAAATGCCTTAAAAAATTAAATTTTCCCTTGGATGGAATGTACCCTTAAATTTTGGGACAGAAAGACTATTTTGATTGTACATAAAGTTTCCCAGCAAAATTTTTGACAAAAATTTTTTCCTCAAAACCCTTTAAACAAGGCTTTGAAAACAATAAAACTATGTGTGCTCAGGATAGTTGTGGAGCATTTGCTCCCCCTTTCAAAACATTGCAGTAGTATCTGTGGTGTTTCATATATTAATTATTTGCTTATTTAGGTTTAACCCAAACAGCTCTGGGGTTGGGAGCAACTATCAGAATTCCAAAATTCTCCAAGCCATTAAAAATCACCAACAAAAACATTCTAGCCAACTGTGTTTCACTGTTGAAGTCTTGTATTGAAAAGAGTGACATTGATATGAGCATTCTTGAGAAAACATGCCAAGTGAGAGAATAAGTGATCGAAAAAAGCGAATCCAATCCGTTGCACTCAAGAAGAGAATTTAAAGTGACTTTCAATGACAATGATCACTACAATATGTATATCATCACATAAACTGCAATACTATGGATGTTATAGTCAATGATTTAACTAAACTGTGAATTACAGTTGATGTTACCATTATTTGCATTATATAGCAAATTAGTTTAATGTCGCAGGGCCCAAAAAACCCCTTTTTTGTAGAGGCCGAATGAAGGGGCTGCTTGCCCCAACACCAAACTAGCCTCTTTTTTCCCCAGTTTGTCCTCAAAATTCCCCAGTCTTTTTTACATTTCCCCCATAGAATTAAGATAAAGTTAAAATAATGGTGTTGAATAAGGTCCTTTTACTGCCCTTATTTGTATTTCCAGTGTTTTTTTTGCTTTTCTATTTTGAAGACCTTTTTTAAAAGTTTGTTGGTTATTTTGAGACCCCTTTTCACAAAGTATTTGCCAAAATCATGCATAAGAAAAAGGCTTGAGGCCCCCCTTCCCCAAAAAAATGGAGTGTTTTGGCCCTGGTGCGTTGGGAGCCTGACATTCTCAATTAATATGATTTTTTTAGACTAATTAAAAAATTAGTAAAAATTTTCACATTTATAAATATTTCCCCTTAAACATAAAACAAATATCAGTATTTCCGGGGGAGTAATGAATTTTTTAAATGGAGTTCATTTTTAAAACAAATTTTATATTTTTTATGAAAATTTATTGTTTATAACGTTTGCTTTTAAGGAAGATTGATGTTAGGGAAGGGGTTTTCAAATTTCCTTTTTCATTCACATTTCTTAAACCCTTTTGGGGCCCATAAGCCAAAAAAAATTTTCCTTTTTTTAAAAAACAAAAAGTAAGTTTGAAAAAATTTTTCTATTAAACCCCGGGGTATGAATTTAAACAAAATCAACAGAGAACTTTTTCCAAAGTGACAGGAATTTTTTTTATTTTAAAAACGAATTTAGATAAATAATTTTAAAGAAAAACTCAGAATTTGTTTCCAAGGAGAATAAATGATGAACAAGTGGGGAGATGTTTATTTCTTTTGAAACAAAACAAAAAATGGTTTCAAACATAATTTTTAAAGGAGGTTAAAAAAAAGTTTAATTTGGGGAATTTTAAAAGAGACAAAGAAGAAATGGTTTCAAATTTTTAATTAAAAACAACCCCCCAAAAAAGAATTAGACCCACTGAACTCCTTTTGTTACAATTTTATTTTAGCACATGGGTTAAAATAATTGGTTTCCCTTGGGAAAAGGAATGTTTAAAAATTAAATTTTACACAGAAAATATTTGAAATTTTTTCCTTGGATTCCAGGCAAATTTTAAAAGGAAATTTTTTTCCTTAACCAAACTTTACAGTGGGTTTATAAGGCAATAGACCCAAAAGGGGTTTCTCGTGTTAATGGAGCATTTTTCTCCCCTTCCCAAAAAATGCCCGTATATCTGGTGGTGTTTCTATATTAAAACAAAGCAATGTATCATAGTATTGCAAGGCAATCCATAAGTCCCCTAATGGTTAGAACCCCAAGCAACATTCTGATGGGCCATTTGGCCATTCAATTTTTACCATTGTGAATGAATGACATGAATGAACTTAAAATCTTTGAGTTCTAAGTTTGTTCTATATCACAGTTAATGTGTTAAGTTTTCCCATGCTAGTAAGGAAATTATGTTTATACAAAACCTTTCATATTTTACGATGCGGGATTTTTTACTTCAGGAAAATGTTTTACAATAGATAAATAGTTGCCGTTTTTGTTTTTACCACTCTCTTTTTTTATTGGCATTTATATCATGTTGATGTATATGTTTATTTATTTTCTCTCAGCAATAAAACCATTTTGGAAATGTCCAATTGTTTTAAATTTATGAAAGCTTACTACACAGGGGATGTCTGAGGAACATCTAGGGTTAAACATGATTGGGCCGTACTTTCCCTATATGGTTTCCCTATTTTCACTAAAATAAAAACGGACTTTTTATCCGTTTAAAGCGTATTTGTTCGATTTAAGGGGTATTTTTCGCTTTAAAATCATTGTATTTTTGGGAGAAAATTTTTAGGTATTAAAAAAAATGTGTCATGACATTTCTTTGTTTATATTTTATATGTATTTTTGCAGTCCTAAAATACCCCAATGATATAAATCCCTTCATAAAATATTTTATCATTTAAAAAATATAATTTTATGCATGGGAGTAAGAATTTCATAAATTGAGTTTGATTTAAAATTTAAAAAATCCCTATTTTGGGATTAAAATTATTTTTTAAGGTTTTCTAAAAAAGAAAGATTTACTGCTAGGAAGTTTGCAGAGAATTTTTTTTATACGACAGACTAATTTCAGATGAAATAATTGACGAAAAATTTAGGGAATTTTTACCAGGAGAAGTAAAAATTTAAAGGGAAAAGGGGGGAGATTATCCCCTTCAAACATGCAGTATCTGTGGTGTTTCTATATTAATTATTTGCTTATTTAGGTTTAACAAACAGCTCTGGGAGCAACTATCAGAATCCAATTCTCCAAGCCATTAAATCACCAAAAAAACATTTAGGGCCCAAATGGTTTTCTTTTGAATCAAAGTATTGAAAAGAGGGGCATTGATATGACTTCCTTTAGAAAAAAAGCCAAGGAGAGAATAAGTGAAACGAAAAAAACAAATCCAACGTTGCAAATCAAAAAAGAATTTAAAGTGGGTTTCAAAAAGACAAAAAATCACTTTCAAATGTATTTTCATCAAAATAAAAAGCATACTAGGGATTTTATAGTCAATTATAACCCAAACTGGGGGAAATTACCCGTTTGGGTGTTACATTTTTTTGCATTAATTTTACAAAAAGTTTTAATGTGCGTTGGTAGCCTGACATTCTCAATTAATATGATTTTATTAGACTAATTCAATAAATTAGTATAAACTACACATTGATATAATATCCTCTATCATAAACAATATAATCAGTATGCATGGGTAGTAATGAATTTAATAAATGTGAGTACATAATATCAATATTATATTTGTATGAAAATTATTGTTTATAACGTTTGCTATTAAAGGAAGATTGACTGTTAGGAAGTTTGCAGTCCTCTTCATTCACATACTTAACCTTGATAGTCCATAAGCAAAACACTTCCTTTTGTTAAAAACAAAAAGTATAGAAAAATTTGTCTATAATCTGTGGTATGAATCAAGACGAAATACAGACAGAGAATCTTTATCATGTGACAGAGAATTTTTATTATGTGACAAACTAATTTCAGATGAAATAATTGATGAAAAACTCAGAATTTGTACCAGGAGAAGTAAAATGATGAACATGGGAGAGATGTTTATGCTACTGAAGACATCACAACATGTTCACATATCTAAGGAGGTAAAAAAAGTCAATTTGGTAATCAATGAGACAAAGAAGAATGGTGCAGTGTATACAACTCCCCCAAATGAATGTGAGACCCACTGAAGCTACCTTTGCCTTGACATTAATGAGCAGCATGCCTTATATATTGATTCCCTTGGATGGAATGTACCCTTGAATTTGACAGCAGAGCTAGTTTGACTTGTCCATCAGATTCCAGCACAATTTTTGACAAAATTTTTTCCTACACAACTTTACAGGCTCTGATAACAATAGATCCCATGTGTGCTCAGATAGTTATGGAGCATTTGCTCCCCTCCAAACATGCTGTATATCTGTGGTGTTTCTATATTAACAAGCAATTATCATAGTATTGCAAGCAATCCATAAGTCCCCTACCGGTTAGAACCCCAGCAACATTCTGATGGGCCATTTGCCATTCAATTTTACCAGTGAATGAATGACATGAATGAACTTAAATCTTTTGAGTTCTAAGTTTGTCTATATCACAGTAATGTGTTAAGTTTCCATGCCTAGTAAGGAAATTATGTTTATACAACCTTGTCATATTATTACGATGCGGGATTTTAAAGTAAATCCTATAAGGAATGAAGAAGTTGGAGTGAAAATACCAGTTTCTCGAAAAAAATCTAAGTTCAAGGGGGACATAATTCTGGAAATAGTCTTGCTAGAGTATTTAACCTTCGAGTGATAATAAGAAACATATATATGAAGTTTGAAGTAGATACATTAGGAAATAAAGAAGTTATTTAAAAAAGACAACATTTTTTTCCCCTAAAAAATCTAAGTTCAAGGGAGGTAATACTGATAATTTTTGTGCCAGAGTTATAAACCTTGTCACATATGATGTGGTTGATGACCAGAAACTTAAATTTAAAGTTTGAAGTAAACACCTTAAGAAATAAAGAACATATAGTGAAAAAGCTGAAAAATTTAAATCAGAAATCTTGAAATTCAGGCTATTTGTTGCCATAGCAACCAGAATTTTCAACATAGGAAGAAAAGAAAAAGATGTGCATAATCTCCAGACTGCCATCTACCCATATTTCAAGTTTCATAAAAATATTTTCAGTACTTTTTGAGTTATCACTGGATCCAGTTTATGTGTTAAATTTGCCATATTTTCAGACTATTTTTTGCCATAGCAACCAGAATTTTCAACACAGGAAGAAAAAAAAAAGACGTGCATAATCTCCATACTGCCATCTATCCATATATCAAGTTTCATAAAAATATTTTCAGTACTTTTTACGTTATCACGGGATCCAGTTTTGTGGACGGACGGACTGACGGACAGACAGACCGACAGACGGACGGAGGGTAAACCTAAAGTCCCCTCCGGTTAAACCGGTAGGGGACTAATTATTTGCTTATTAAGGTTTGAAAAACTTGCCAAGTGAGAGAATTAGTTATGGAAAAAAGCACACATTGCAAATCTAATCCGTTGCACTCCAGAAGAGAAGTTAAAGTGACTTTCAATGACTTCTTTTTAACTGCTGTAAATCAGGCCAATCAAGATAAGAAAAGGAAAACTAATAAACCAGTTCTTTCAGCAAATAAAAAGCTCTGCGGTGAGAATTTTATAATCAGTAAACAAGTTTGTTCAGCAATGAAAAAGCCTGAGAATGATATTATCAGTTAAAGGGTGGAACATGAACTTAAAAACAGTAAGTGATAAAACACATAAAGAATTGTAAATTTGAAAAAAAAAAGTTAGAGGTAGAGATCAGGAAAAATAAAAAAAGAAGTAAAGCAGCAAAACAATAACAGAAAGTGCAACCAAACATAAAGACTGTGCCTTCCAAAACATAAAAGAAAATATTCCTGTGTATGGATCTAGGGCAAAGCAAGATATCAAACTTGATAAGAAAAACTTTGTTTAGTTTGATAAGAAAATCTTTGTTTATACTACATTCAAAGGATTGTTGAGGAAATTTTGAATGAACATAGGCAAAACACTTCCTTTTGTGTGAACAGTGAAAGCATTTGCAATGATCACTTCAATATGTATATCATCCTATAATTGCCAACTTTAGGGATTATGGTGATGTGGAACATATAATGAACAATGTCAGAAGGCTTCGTAACACGCCTTTCTCAGTTGATAGAGATTATCCCCCTGAAATTTATATCAAATTAGATGTACAAACTATACATATTGTTACAACCATAAAGAAGTAGTGTTAATAAAGTGATGTTTTAACATTGTTAACAAAAATAAGTGTACAGAAAAAAGTTAATGCTTTCAACATTCTTTTGAGTGGTGCCAAAGTCCCTCTCGTCAAAAAGGCAACCTGGTAAATACTCCTTAAGTTCTTGTGTAATTATTTTTAAATGAAGTAGATTTTCAGAAATTGTCAGGACTTTGCTGTTTTATTCACAGACACTTTGGGTTTGGAGCTCAAAACGCCTATAAAATCCAAATAAAATGCATATTTGTCGATCCCAGCACATGTACCGATCATATATATCAAAAAAACTTAATATAAGCCGTTTTGAAAAAATTTCATATTTCAACATCAATAAAAATACACAAGATAAAAATGTTTGCCGGAAAAAATCCGCACCCCTACCGTCATAATCACAATGTATTTTATTCCGTTTCCAATATTTTCACATAATCCTTTGGTCCATTGACACAGAAGATATAATTCTTCACGATGATGGTCAATTTTAAACTTCAACGGAATATAAACAACGCAACCGCCGAAATAAACATTCAGATTATTTTGATAGTTGTCATTTACACTGAAAATGTGTACTTAAATACATGCATGTGTTGTTGAAAATATATCTGATTTCGGATGTAACTTATTCGGACATGCAATTACGGATTGGGAAAATTTTATCCAAAAAAGACAAGAGCCATGTCAACATGGTCATCCCTCGCTGAATGTGTTTGCTCATTGGAAGAATATAAATGTAGTAGAGTAGAATAATTCAAATTTAAAAGGTCTTTTGATAATGACTAGAACTCCGCGAGTTGGATGTGTCGCCTTGTGAACAATATAGTTTAAGAGAAATGGCCAAGACAAAAATAAAATTTGAAAATCAACAAAGGGCAATAACTCAAAAAATAAGAAATGCAGATCAGCAGTATCTGTGCACTGCACTTTTTATCAATAAGATCTATCATCCTATTAAGTTTCAAGTCTAAAGCTTTTATAATTTATGAGAAATGGCCTGGAAAAAAAAATAAAGTATGAAAATTAACAAGGGGCAATAACTCAAAAAATAAGAAGTGTAGAGTACCGGTTCTTGTGCACTGCACTTCAGGTCATTATAAGAAGCATGCATATCAAGTTTGAAGTCAATCCGACTTATAATGACTGACCTATGCTCCGGACAAGCTTTAGGGGACGCCGACACCGCCGACAAAAGTAACCCCTATGTGGCCTTTTTAAAGGCGACACAAAAACTGATGACTGAAGTGATTACAGATTTGATAAGCTGAAAGGGTAATGAGCATTTTGAATTTGGTTTATGGAAAGAGCTCATGATGACGCATTCAAGTCTGTTAATAGTACCTCTCAACTCAGAGATTTGATAGATAAGAAGCCCTTGACACTTGTTTTAATTGCTATTGTTGATATAAACTTTGGTCATTATAGAGGTCTGTTTAGGACCTTAATGTATGACAAATAAATAGTAAGACGACCTTGACATTGATTTAATTCACGGGAAACATAGTGAATCAATACGATTATAGATATATTTTGCAGGTTGCATGTAATTATATGTGAACTTATACACATATATAAAGAAGAGCGTGATTTAATTGACATATTTTACTGAATTTGTGATACAGTGAAACCTGTGTAGACACTTTATCATATTTTAATAGTCAGTGAACATTAACATTGTGCCATTATCATTTGAAGGTTTGTCTGGTACTGGTACTGGTTGGTCTTATTTATTACTATTGATTCATCTTTTTTGAGTCACAAATGAGCAATGCTTTATTTGTATTAATTTAGTATTTGTGTAAACATGTATATTGGAGTAAAACAGTAGTTTGCACAAAATCATACATGTTAGATTAGGCATAACTTGTGAAACAGCAGTTGAGCTTGCATTTTATAGATCAAGTTTTGCCCGAGCTGACATGTGTTGTCATTGTGGTGGAGTAGATGGTTACATTGACCAAGATCTTAGTAAGAAGTTTAAAACAGTTTTACCAGTATGTAAGGCTTGTGCTGATGCTGAGTTTGTACCTTTTCTTGCTAGACTGTTGGAAAATCTCAGACTAAATCTGGGAACTGAATTAAGATTTGCATATACTGACTGAGCTTAATAATCTGATATAAACTGAGCTAGAAAATATAGGTTTGAAAGTATTGTAAAGCAGTATTGCAAGAAAATGCAACAATGTGGAGATAGCAACCATGCAATGACAACATTGTTGGGTTTTCTTGTGACACAGCACAGTTAACACTAGTCATCACATTCTAGTCATACAATTGTGTTCTGTTTTGTTCTTTGAAAATGGATTTTAATACATAACAAGAGGGCCATGATGGCCCTGAGGTCGCTCACCTGTATATAGGCCCCCGGAGCAGGGCCAGTTTAAACCCCAGGGCTTTTATTTGAGCAAACTTGGAAGACACCCATTAGAAGATGTTTCATGACGTTAAGTTTTTACTACACACATATAATGAAAAACAATGACCTCCGCCCCCCCCCCCCTTTGGCAGGGCCAATTTAAACTCAAGGGCTTTCATTTGGACAAACTTGGTAGACACCAACAAAAAGATGTTTCCTGCTTAAAATCTAAACTCTAGCTATTTGGGTTTTTTCAAAGAAGATTTTTAAGTTATTGCCATACACATATATGGAAAATCAATGACCCCCGGGGCGGGCCAATTTTGACCCCAGGGCTTTTATTTGAACAAACTTGGTAGACACCAACAAAAAGATGTTTCCTGCTTAAAATCTAAACTCTAGCTATTTGGGTTTTTTCAAAGAAGATTTTTAAGTTATTGCCATACACATATATGGAAAATCAATGACCCCCGGGGCGGGCCAATTTTGACCCCAGGGCTTTTATTTGAACAAACTTTGTAGACACCCATTAGAACATGTTTCATGCTAAATATCTTAGCTCTAGCTCTTTGGGTTCTTTAAAAGAAGATTTTTTAAGTTTTTACTATATGCATATAGGGAAAATCAATGACCCCCCGGGGCGGGGCCAATTTTGACCCCAGGGCTTTTATTTGAACAAACTTTGTAGACACTCCTAGATTATAGTTTCATGCTTAATATCTAAACTCTAGCTATATGGGGTTTTTTCAAAGAAGATTTTTTAAGTTTTTGCTATACACATATAAGGAAAACCAATGACCCACGGGGCGGGGCCAATTTTGACCCCAGGGCTTTTATTTGAACAAACTGTGTAGACACCCATTAGAACATAAATATCTTAGCTCTAGCTCTTTGGGTTCTTTAAAAGAAGATTTTTATGTTTTTACTAAATGCATATAAGGAAAACCAATGACCCACGGGGTGGGGCCAATTTTGACCCCAGGGCTTTTATTTGAACAAACTTTGTAGACACCCATTAGAACATGTTTCATGCTAAATATCTTAGCTCTAGCTCTTTGGGTTCTTTAAAAGAAGATTTTTATGTTTTTACTAAATGCATATAGGGAAAATCAATGACCCCCCTGGGGCGGGGCCAATTT